GGACAAGAAAGTCCCTCTTCGCAGAAGAAAGAAGCGAGACAACGTCGTGAGGTTCGGCGTTGACCACATCGGCAGCTTTAACTTCACCGTCTGACATTTTTGATCTTTCGAAATGTTCTTATACGAGGCTGGGATATTCCGAACTTCAAATTCGCCGTAGGTTGTGTGATATGTGAAGGTGAGGACAGTGTGAACTCAGGGGGTCCATTTATATTGCACCAATTTTTGTTTCGTTGGGTGTGGGAGGAATCTTTCTGCGTGTCGGAAACGCTGGATACTGGTGTTATTATACAAGTGCTTGTTTGGATGTGAAGTACGTTAATGTTTTTAGAACTAATTCTCAGCAAAAATGTAAATTCTGAAAAAGTATTTAAAATGCTTCCTAAAAGAAGCATTAGTTATGTGCTTCCTAAAAGAAGCATTAGTTATGTGCTTCTTGTAGAAACCATTTTAAGTGCTTTTGGAATTAAAAAAATATTTTCTCTAAAAGCTTTTTTAACCATTTTAAAAGTACATCCAAACAAATTCTAAGGAATTGGAATTTTTTTGATGTATTAAGTTAATTGTATTACAACGCTTGATCTATCGAGTCGAATTTTAAGCACATTGAAAAAAAAACTTGAGTGTGGGGAGTCTAGAATTTTCTTGAAGAGTGAGAGAAAGAAAGATAAGAGGATCTCTTTGAGAAAAGTTCTGTGTAGAGAGAAATTTTTAATTGTGATAAGAACATGGATAATGCATCATATATTTTTATGTAAGTGGGGAAAAATTGTAATTTTTAAGTTATTAATCTTTTAACACATATATCCTACTATTTACATAAGGACACGTGATGTACCACGTCACATTAAAAAATCTCTCCCGTATAGAAGGTGCATTGGATGCGTATGCACGTATGCGTCAGCGTCACCCAGCTAAATCTCAAAACAATTTCAATATGCCTTTGTTCCATTTTCTACTTAACAAAATAAAATGAAAATATTACCCATTAAGCTCACTTAAAACTACAAAGTGAGTAATTTGAACATGAGTAACAAGAGTGGAAAATTTGAACATGAATGCAAAGGATGGCCCCATAAGGCACATTAGGCATATCGGTGCCACCCCTAAGTATGTGTAAGTAGTATTGCATGGGTTCCTAGCTCGGAAGATCGCTGATTTATGCTTTTATTTTATTATTTAAAGATCGAATAATTAAATTAAGTTGTTAGCATAAGTGTCCTCTCACTTCTTATCTCTGTAGCTTTAACAGGGAGTTCAAATACGTCTCGAGGCCAGCCCTGAGACACATACAGTTAAACATGTTGGTTATGAGGCCTCTCAGCCTCAAATAAACATTTTTTGTTTTAGTTTAAGTGATATTATACACTAATCTTATTAAAAAGAGGAAGAGGAGTATGAACTCAATATGCAATATATTAAAACGGAAGACATCCAAGTAGCATTTTTAAATATTCTTTGCATTATACTTTTCTTTGGGATCTCTCTTCTCAATATAAAGTTTAAATAACAGAAATAATATTTGTTAAGTTATTATTTCGTTTATTTAAGGTAGAATTTCAAACTGAATCTTCATCTTTAAGTTTCCAAGTGTGAACATTGGAAAATGACAAAGTGCATGAGACGTTGACTCCATTGACCCGTATGGGCTGTGCCCCGTTTTGATTGTTAACAACAGCCCAATCTGGCACGCTTCAATCCAACTTGTACCCGTGTGTATATGGTTTATTGGTATTCGTCTCACCACCTCCGCATTATACGCCCTCGCATTCTCCGCGCTCGCGGCCTCCCCTTCTCTGAAACCACCACGGGACGCCAACAACTCCCTCCCTCTCCATCGCACTCACAAACGCATCCAAACTCAGCGTTGAAAAGATTACTATACACCAACTCGCCGTCGCTAACCACCTCACTGGTGGCTCCAAACAACGCGTAGTCGAGACAGACGTAGTTTATGCTGCTTAGGTAGCTGAAGTAGGGGTCGGAGTTGACCATGAAGGGCGAGTTCGTGTCGCCGAGGAAGCGGAGGAGGGGGAGTAGAGAGGGTTGGACGGAGGGGTCGAAGGAGGCTGAGGAGGGAGAGTATGAGGTGGAGAGAACGGAGGCGCTTAGTGGGGAAGAGAGCTTGATGGAAATGTCAAGGCCTAGGGTTTGAAGGGCTTGGTGAAGTTTGAGAATGGCGGGAAGGACGTGGGGAGTGTATTAAGGGTCTTTGAGGAAAACCTCGTTGCCGACGGCGATGTAACGGATTTGGTTTGCGGGGATGTGTGCGAGTAGGTTGGATTGGAGCCAGTCAAGGGTGGCGGCGAGGGTGGGGAGGAGTTCGTTGGTGACACCGATGGTGAGGTGGATTGTTGGGGTGCCGGAGAAGGTGCTGAGTGTACGTGGCGGGGTCGGTGTTGAAAAGGCGGACGGATGAGATGCCGTTGTCTTGGAGCCTTTCAAGGACGGTGGAGGAACCGTGGCGGGAGATTGTTAGCTGCTGGTCCGTAGCAGATTCCAATTGGTTCTGCTGCTGCTGAACCTACAATTGTAATTACAAAATCAGTTTATTGAAACTTAATTTAGTTATTTAGTGCATTCCTTGCCATGCATAAAGCTGTTGAGAATGAGTCTCACATTGATGGAAGAAAGAACTTTGCATAGGCTTATAACTTCTTCATGGTATCAGAGCAGGTTGTTGTGAAGCCAAATGGCCACACACGCTCCATGTTTGTGTTGTCCACGTGTTCGGCGGCCAAACGGCCACACTCGCTCCATGTTTGTGTTGTCCATCTGTTAGGTTTGAAAATTTGCCTATATTAGCGTCAATATTAGATTGATGTTTGCAACTCAGTTTGTTAAGAGTATTTTTTCTTTACACTGATATCCCAATACGTTAATGGAATGAGGGATTTTGCATAAACTTATAAGAGGATAGACTACTCTCTATGTTGCCAATTGGTTTTATGGTGGAACCTCAACTTCTTCATAGTATCAAAGTAGGTTGTCCTACGTGTCAAGCCAAACGGCCACACGCGCTCTATGTTTGTGTTGTCTACATGTTAGGCTTTAAAATTTATCAATATTAACGTCAAAATTAGACTAATGTTTGCAACTCAGTTTGTTAAAAGTATTTTTTCTTTATACTTGATATCCCAATTCGTTTCTTACCTCCCCGAATATTGCTTGTATCAACAAAGGTAATATACTACAGTGAATGGATAGGAATTTTATTACCAAATGAGTGTGAGAGAAGATAGAGAAGGATGAGTGAAAATTGGGATAGGAGGAGATGATTATGATCAAATTTCTTTGACATTTTAGTTAATTTGAAGAATTGAGCTCAATGAAGCTGATACGTTGAATTAGTATTTAAGTACTTGATGAAATGTATTTTAAATTGGGGTGACTGTGAAGAGAGCCACAGCTAGAAGTACAAGCTATGATTTGTTTTGGTTAATTATGTTGTTTTATTTTGGTTTAAAGTAGTTTGTGCTTTCGTTTCGGGTTTTCTAGTTCAAGATCATGTTCAATTTTGTGATCATTTTAATAGATTTGGTCATGATTTTGTCGGCTTCACTACTAAAAAGAGTAAAAATTTCTGATAAGGCAACTGACTCAACATCGTTAAATAGACACTCTCATAAAGAATGACTTGATTAGTCACGTAATTATGTGCTTGATTGTTTGGATAAACTCATAAATATTAAACACACTTTTTGACCAGCCAACACCCATAGCATTGACTAGAGAGCGACACATTTGAGCTGATTTTTTGACATTCAAAACATAACAGGGCGCTATGGTTGTTAGAAGTTAGAAGTGTTAGAGGTAAAGACATTCCTGTCCCACCAGCACTACCCATATGGACCGTGGACAGGTAAAAGATGGCCAACAAACAAACAAACAAAATGCATGTCACTGCTAAGTCCAGTCCCACTAAACATTGAGGATGGCGGAGCCCTCTGCGTGCTAGGTTTAAGGGAAGGATTGAGGTAGGGATTAATCCGTTTATGATGTGACATTATTCTTATCATAAAAAAAGACCTAAAATCAAGCTTCACCCACCTAGCAGAATCGTTCCTTATTAAAAAGGAGATAAAGACGGCAATCAAAGAGTGAGTACTGACCCCGCCATTTTCTTAGAGGAACTATAGATGATATTTTAAAGGATGGTGTCATTTACACATTTTTTTTTTTTTATACATATATTCTAATTTTTGTAGGATTGAATGAATTAAAGTAGATTGAATGACAAAATTTAATAAAGAATATGTGAAATGTAAAAAAAAGTGTAATTAGCACCACCCTATTTTAAATTCTGAAGACTAGTACTTGTCTACTAGAAACCACTTTTATTATTCTAACTGATGTTTACTTTTTGTCTAATCTCACTGTAATGCTTATTTACTCACAATAATGTGAAATTCTCAGACGAGCTTTTTAGCCGAATGATTTTTGAGATTGTTATAACTCATTACTTTGGTTCTTGAGATTTAAAATCAATAAAAATAGTCATTGAGATTGTCCATCGTCAAATCATTTTGGTCATTCTGTGAAAAAACTCTGTTAAATTGAAAAAACCACCAGTTCAATGGGAGGGGTTGATGTGACAAAAATACCCTCAATTAAATAGAGATTTCTCACGGAATGACTAAAACAATTGGCGGTGGACAATCTCATGAACCACTTCTACAGATTTTAAATCTTAAAAATCAAAGTGAAGAGTTATGCCAATCTCAAAAATCATTTTGGTTAAAATGTCTTTTCAAACAAGTTAGTGTGTCTAGTATTATTGTATTTCTAACTTGAACCTACATAACAGTATTATTGGATGAACATATTAAATAAATTATAAGTGCTCTAAAAGTTTGGAAAGATGGATCTGCATATATTCCGAGATCAAAGGCTGGGATGGGTAGGTGCTCAATTGATTCCAATCATATGCACAATTATGCAATCGCCTAGCAAATAAATGCTGCTTTTTTCTCCCTCAAGGGGGGCCTTTTGAGAACACTAATCCACTGTCCAAAGGCTCCAAAATCTTGCTTTCTCTCCATACAAAGCAAATCTCTTGCAGCTTCTTCTTCCACATTAAAGAGATCAACAAGGAGTATCTTTACTTGTCTCTTTATTAAAGAAAGTTATTTTCCTCCTTTCTTGAACACGAATACCAAACATTTGAATCCCAGTGTTCTTTTTTTTGTCGAAATTTGAATCCCATTGTTTAAGTAACGTTATTTAATCGCATAAAACTGACTACGTTGCTGCCATGCTCTCATATAAATGTTAATGTGAATATTAATATTCACATACTAATGTTCTTGCTTGATCCACGAGTAAACCCAATTCTCTCCCTTCGTCTTCACTCAAAGAACAAAAATCTACAAGGACTTACTACTAATTACTCCCTAAATCCCATATCCTCTGTTTTACTCCAATCCAGTCCTATCCTATCCAGACCATCATCATGTCCTCCTTGCAGCCTCAGCAGCAGCAGCCTGTTGGCCCTGTTCTTGTTTACCCTAACGATGTCAATGGACAGCCTTCATCTTCCCACCATTCAAATGGATCATTCGGGACTGTTTTCATCGTGCTGGCCGTTATAATCGTCATCTCCGCCATCGCTTGCTTTCTCGGAAGGCTCTGCAATCGCCGCCACAACAGCTCTAAACCCCATAAGCAACCGCAACATAACTTTCGTCCCAAGAAAGAAGCTGGCCCTGCAGGTGGCGGTGGTGGAGACCATCACGTGGAGTTTGGGAGAGCTCCCAGCTTTCGAGCAGGCCCGAAAGTAGCAGACGTCGAATTTGGATTCAATAAGAAAAACCCAAAAGGGAACAGCAGCAGCAGAGGAGAGGGCAGAGGATACATGAATCATCACCACAACAAACCACACCATAACGGAAATGGTGAAATGAATCGTCACATGAAAGGTGAAATGAAGCAGCATCCTGGCGGCGAGCGTCATGTTGGAATGGGAGATCCGAGCCAGTGGATGAAATGATGATCGGATTAGTAACTTGTTGTAGCTGGATTGGCTTTCCTTTCAAAATTAATCCTCCTGTTTCCTCTGTTCTTCTATGTTTTTTTTTTTTTTCTCTTTTTTTTTATTTTTAGTTAGTTTCCAACTCTGGAACTTCAAGTATTATTATTGGTAACGATAAAAGGTTTGTGGCAATTTTACTAGTGTACTAAATTATGGAATTTGATGATCTTCAATTACAAAAGGCTAAAACCTTGATCAATGATCGATACTCTCCATACATAGTAGAAAAAGAAAATAAGTTCTCCCATGAAAATGAAAATGAAAGACGTTGATCTGTACATGAATTAGTAACATCACGTAACTATTGTACTAAAAAAATACGGCGGGCTTATTCTAAAGAGGGGGACTTGTATGAAACAGGGACAGAAAGGTAGTTGTGTTTCAAACCAATCATTCGACGTCAATTGAGAAACTTAAAACACTTACCGTCATGTTACTAATCCATAATGCCACGGTTGCATCGCGTAAGTTGTAGGTAAGTCCTTCTCCATTTTCGGACGTCCACCCTAACAAATTGGGAGAAAGAAGGCAGCATTTGCTTGATTTCAGAAGAGGAAAAGCAGAGTTCCTCCAGTTTTGTCCGAAAATGTCCAACCGTGGTATGCATAGTTTTCAATTTGTCATCGCACCTAACTGAGCTTCCACTTCTAACTTACACACTAGATATGTAAGAAGAAAAAAAATTCAATGAAAATAAATAAATAAAATTGAAAATGATATGATCGTTACTCCTCTACCGATTATCCACAAGATCTGTCACTATCAAGATAGCGATTTTTTTTGTACCAATCGTTAGTGTCATACTGATCCCTCCTAATCATTCTTGAATCAAAAATAGTCCTATACATTCGCATAAAATATTCGATCGACTCGACCATTCTATTTGGTGACTGTTGCTTTTCAAAGGTTGCATTGTATTATTTTTCGTAAGAATTACAAGAAAAAGATGATCACTCTTATAGAGGATCAAGAGGAAGAACTACAAGTAGGGAGCAAACACAATCCCACGGAAACAGCACTAGGCACGTGAAAAAACAAGAAAGACTTAATTAAGGAAAGAAGCTCCTACAAGTAAAAAGGTATGCCTAAGAGGTAACGGACAAGACAAGGTATGGGAAGACAAGAGAGAGGTTAAGACCATCACTTTAGCCCATAACTTAGCTAAAGTGAGGATGACAACCCATCCTTGAGATCCTTACAAAGCACTTTGGGAAGTTAAATACCAACTCCTTGAAATAATTGAGTTGACAACTTATCACAAGGAGACCGAACTCAGTCATGCAGACAACCAGAAACCCTAAAGTCCATTAGACAACTTCCAATAGTGACAGTATAAACATTCACGAAATGTGGTACTCACACGACTTGTTCATTCTTGATTGCTCATTCTTCATGATTTTGAAACGAGTCCACTCCTACTACAGATAGACATTATCTTTATTAGAAAATTACGCTGAAATCACAATAATCATTAAAAACAAAAGGGAAGTCTCTTCTTCCCTTCCTCTCTTCACAAGTCATAAATAATTAACACCTTCGACTTGGCATATGTCACATCTCGGCCCGGACTCCCATCGCACTTGTTCATTCTTGATTGCTCATTCTTCATGATTTTGAAACGAGTCCACTCCTACTACAGATAGACATTATCTTTATTAGAAAATTACGCTGAAATCACAATAATCATTAAAAACAAAAGGGAAGTCTCTTCTTCCCTTCCTCTCTTCACAAGTCATAAATAATTAACACCTTCGACTTGGCATATGTCACATCTCGGCCTGGACTCCCATCGCACTTGTTCATTCTTGATTGCTCATTCTTCATGATTTTGAAACGAGTCCACTCCTACTACAGATAGACATTATCTTTATTAGAAAATTACGCTGAAATCACAATAATCATTAAAAACAAAAGGGAAGTCTCTTCTTCCCTTCCTCTCTTCACAAGTCATAAATAATTAACACCTTCGACTTGGCATATGTCACATCTCGGCCCGGACTCCCATCGCATTTTGTTTACGGGAACTCACGAGCAACTTCCCAGGAGGTCATTCATTCTGAGATTGCTCTAGCCCAAACACGCTTAACTTCGGAGTTCTTACAGAACCCGAAGCCAGTAAGCTCCCAAAATATCTCATGCTAGGTAAAGATAGGAATTGTATATATAAGGCATAGATGATCCACTTTCCTGAGCGATGTGGGATGTTACAGCATAAATTAATTGTAAAACAAAATTTAATCAATTCCAAATTATATTATTTCTCCCATAACAATTAAAAATAATTCCACGTTAACTTCCTCCAAATAATTCCACGTAATTAGAACCCCCTACTCCCTGTCGACTCTCTCGACCGTCGGCGACCTCTCTTCACGTACACTTTCCCTTCCCGTAATCGACGGTACACGGGTGGCACTCCCATTAGCCTTCCCCAACTCGAAACACTCTACGAAGCCGCTATTTTCCCAATACCCACGTGTCTTTGGTGCAAATGGAAGCGAACCAGATCGGCAAAAGAGAGTGCTTGATTAAGCTGCTTTCTGAGCAGAACCGAGGCGGATTTGCAAGGTTGATGGAGAATATGGATTCCTTAGGACTTCAAGTTTTGATGCCAATGTCACGACACTCTATGGAACTGTTTTATACATTCTCAACGTTGAGGTAAGATTCCGATAAAAGAAGATTCATCTTGTTTTTGAACCTTTCATAAGAAATCATCTCATATCGATAGCGAGTAAGAACAATTTATTTTGCTCACTTTTCTTACATATGCATTGCACTGTGTTCGTCCACATGCAAACAAAGACACTCAGGCAAAGAAATTGAGAGAGTTTAATCCAGCTAACAAGGGGTACAAATCAGACAGTTTAATCTGATAGATTATCACTGATTTTGGAAAATCGAAGGTTTCATCCAAGAACATCTAAACAGCTCCTTTAGACATGTCAAAAGTACGGAAGATTTTTTTTCCTTTCATTTACCATCGTAAATCTGGAAGTTTTGGAGGCTCACACGACAGTTTTTTCTGGGTCTAATGAAGTACAAGTACAGTTAAATATTCTGCTAATGATTGCATCGTCGATTAATACATAGATCCCAAAAGCGTGTAAATGAAAAAATTAGGCACATTTAATTGAAATCTTATTGTTCTACCTGTACTATCAATACAGATTCTTCATATTAATGACTAAAAAAAAAGGTACCACGAGTAAACTTTACGAGCTCTTCCCTGCTGCTAATGCTTTGAGGGAACTAGAGAATAGAGCGACCTTCAACAAAGAAAAATGGAGAAGAAAAAGAAGCAGCAGCTTAACTTACACACTAATATGTCATATTAAGTCAAGAAATCAGTTTTTCTTTTCTTTTTATAACGAACAGTCTCTTCTGTCGCCCGCTCCCTTGCCAAACTCTCTCTATGGAGCACCATGAGTTAACAATGTCACGATGACGAGTGTGTAGACATTCAGAAATTAATTCACAATTATTTCGCCACTCTTTCTAATTAGAACCGTCTGCCTTGATTCCCACTGATTATCTGCTCACCACCATGCGTGGTAAAAGCTCGAGTTTCTGATTCATCGCTTGAAGCATCCGGGCGAGTCCATAAACTTTGGGGTCCTGATACCTCTCTGGAAGTGAAATCTGCACTGGACATCTCTGAGCTGCCTCCGCTGCCTAATGCCATCCTTCTGAATCTCATAATGTCCTTATTGTACTGACCAGAGTCATATGCAGTACTCTGCCCAACTTTCACTCCGTTCGTTAGATCACTTAATTCACCTTCACAGTCCAATGCTCTCACCACCTGAAAATATATATGAACCAATAAGCCTGCATAGTTCTTCCAATAAATTGTCATCATTGTTCTGTTTAAGTTCTCTCTGTTTATTAGTATTCACCTGCGCCATGCGTGGTCGTTTTGGAGCAGAATGACGCACGCAAGCAGCAGCTGCCTCGATCATTCTGAACATTTCACCCTCCACATAATGCTTCTCAAGCCGAGGATCTACTAATTTGCTCAAGTCGCCAGTTTCAAGGGCTTGAATTAGAAGGGGACGAGCCTGAGAAATTTTAGACAGAAAAATTATTGAATGTGAAAACAAAAGTGGACTTGTAAAACAGGTGACACGCTGCATTGTGACATATTAGCAAAGGCGGAAGATGTTCATACCCATTCAACCAAACTCTCATCCCCTAAAGGTCGAGAAGAATCAACGGGTTTCCGCCCGGTTACAAGCTCTAGAAGCACAACTCCAAACGAAAACACATCTGATCTGTCTGTCAATTTGCCACTGTTAGCATACTCAGGTGCCATGTACCTGAAACCAAATTGAACAAAAATGCCACAAATGTCATAGATAAGCAATACGGTCGTCAGGCAATAGTTCCAAAGGAGTTTACAAGGTCTTTGCTTACCCAAATGTTCCCATGACTCTAGTGGATACGTGAGTATTGGTGCCGTCTGTAAGTTTGGCAAGCCCAAAGTCTGCAACCTGTGTACGAAGAAATTCAAGAATTAGAAACTAGAGCCTCAATGTCAGAAACACAAAATCATGGGATAGCCGTAGCATCAGAAGGAATCGGTACAACATGAATTGAACAGGTATAGACATGCCTGTGCTTCAAAGGCATCATCCAGCAGAATGTTTGCCGATTTAATGTCTCTGTGAATAATCTTTGGATGGCCTATAAACATATATACGAGGAGAATAGATAGAATCAGATAATTCGACAGAAAGCGCTGACAATAGCCACTGAGGGAGTGAGCAAAAGGCCTATAAGTGGCTGATGAGGTGCGTAAAAGGCAAATCTGTAGCTAATGGCGTTATTAGCCACTGATATGTCTTTTAACCCCACTCCATTATGTACGACTAATGTCAGTGACTATTATCGGATCTCATAACACAAAGTCACAAAGATGTATATAGGTACGTACAGTCTTCGTGTAAATACGCCAAGCCTTTTGCAGACCCCAAAGCAATCTTGAGTCTCTTGGTCCATTCCAACACCGGCATTCCGGCACCTGAATAACAAATCAATTTGAAGTACAATAACAAGTAGCTGAATATTGAGAAGTACAACTAAGAACATCAAAAGAAGAGGTTAATTAGATTAGATCACCTACCATGCAAATGGTGCTCAAGAGTTTTATTGGGAACAAATTCATAGATAAGCAATCTTTGCTGTTCAGAGATGCAGTATCCCACCAAAGAGACCAAGTAACGATGGTGCACGCGACTAATAATCTCAACTTCAGCCCTGAATTCCTTCTCTCCCTGCCCGCTACCAGCCTTGAGCTGCTTGACTGCCACAACTCTTCCGTCCTGCATCCAACCCTTGTACACACATCCGAAACCACCCTCACCGATAACATTTTGACGTGAAAATCCATTCGTTATCTCCATCAACTCTTCGTAGGTGAAATGAACCTTGGTAGCAGCAATAAGACCGGAATCTCCAGAACTGGGCGGATTACCTTGGTAGCTGTTTTCATAGGAGGAAGGTCCGGGCGGTCCACTCGAATAGAAGCTTTCTGTTGGACCAGAAGTTGCGGAACTCTGTTGCTGCGCATGATAATATCCACCTGCATCACATACAAAGCTCAATTATTGAGCTCATAAGTACACTTTATATTATGTTTATGTTAGACCACCACCGCTACAACAAAAACTGACATAACTAATGCGGTATTAGCCAGTATAATACGATCGTTATAATGTCATTACAGAATAAGAATAAGGTGTATAAATGCTTATCATTGACTATGATACTACATAAGCCAATGATAAGCATTATAGCCACCTCATTCTATGCAACTAACATTAGTGGCTATTGTCAATTTTTCTTTGACATGCGCGTAAATTTTAAAAGTTCAAGTTGTTAATTAGGATATGAGTCAACAATGTATACAATCAGTGGACAATCTTTACCTGGAGTTGATAAGTTACCGCCATGGGGACCGGGAGTGGGAGGCATGTAATTTGGAGGGTATGGTTGGGCCTGCTTCTTTCTCTTCCTTACAAACACAACAATGAGGGCTACCAAGGCAATGATGAAAACTCCAGCTACCGTCAAGCCCACAACAGTGCCTGTATGCCTACTACTACCCCCTGAGTCGCCTGTAACCTGACTTCTCGTTGAGGGAGGGGAGAGGGTGGGGGTGGAATTAGCAGGGCGAGGGACAGGCTGAGTTGTAGTAGCTCCTGAACCCGGAACCGCTAGAGCGCTAGGCACTGTAGGAGGAGATGGGGCGGTGGGGTTGGTTGTAGTTGTAGCTGGAGGTGGAGAGGATGGAGGGGACTGAGAGAAACTGGGTGAGGATGGGGAGCCTTTATCATCTTGTGATGAATCAGTTGGCGGTGATGTAGATGGTGAACTGTCGCCGGAGGATGGTTTGGGAGTATTGCCATCAGTACTACTAGGAGGAGGTGGTGAAGCTGGAGGAGAAGGTGGTGATGATCCGGATGTTGGTTTGCCTTTTGATGATGATGGTGGTGGTGAACGACGAGGAGGAGAAGGTGATTTTGGCGGTGATGATGAAGGCGGTGGGGAAGATGGGGGTGGAGAAGACGGAGATGGTGATGATGGTGGAGGTGATGATGGCGGCGGAGATGCTGGTGGCGGAGAAGGTTTGGGGGATGGTGAAGATTTTGGGGCAGGTGAGTCTGATTTTGGAGGCGGAGGGTCTGATTTCGGAGGGGGCGCTTGTGATGGCGGAGGTGGCGATGGTGTGTTTGAGTCATGGGGTGGTGAGTTTGACGGTGTTGATTTGTCCTCGGTACTCTCGTGGGGTGGCGATGGTGTGTTTGAGTCATGGGGTGGTGAATCTGGGCCAGGAGGATGAGAGTCATGCTCATTTGATTCCGACATAATTCTCCTTGCTTTAACCGGTAACCACTCTTCCTTTCCCTTTCTATCAAAGTTTCCTCCTTCCCAATACTCCCTGTGATTAATTAGTTTAATACAAGATTAATTAACGAAGCCCCTTTCATCCAATCCAATGAAATTAACCAATAATCCTACGTAATCCGGGCACGGGTTTCAAACAATACTAAAAAAATATGAAAAAAAAAAAAGCAACAAGAACCTGTGCATGCAATAATTCAACTTTTACGTTGGATAGGTTTGCATGGACGCAGCAGCAGCAGCTACGTACAAACTTCACGTACGTACAGACGGCCGGTATTCCATCTGCATGCAAGCGACCATGCACGTACGTACGTAGAAACAAAAACCTAGCTCCTTATCGAAGAAATTAATCAAGCGATCGAGCTCGCGTTTGGTCGCGTTTGAGGAAGAGATGGGAATTCCAGAGATTATACAGACGAAGGGGGTGGTTGTGTGAGAAGTGAAAATCATTCAAGGCCACCCACACCACCCCCAAATGCCACCCAAAACAACAAAATTAAAAATAAAGAAATGATTTAGAAAAAAAAAAACATAAAACAATCCCGAAAAATTCTCCCTTTGTTTTTCTTATTAAGGTTTTGTTTGTGTTTTGATTATATCTCTAAATATTGGTTGCTGTTATTATGGGTTGGTTAAAACCCAACTGTCGCTGTCTCTTATTTTTTAGGCGTTGCTCCTCCTTGAATGTCGGGTTACCGCGCAACCTAAACGGGTAATGCTTTTGTGTCACCCCCAAGTCGTGCCAGTCGGATCGAGCAGGAACCGTATCGGGGTCGTGGTGGTGAATGTGTTTGTTGCCACACCCGCCCGTCGTCCCCGTCTAGATGGGGCCAATATGACGAGCTGGCAGTTTCTTTAAGGATTCTTCCTTCAATAATTGTTAGAAAAGTAGTTAATATATTAATTTTTTTTTTAGGAAAGATGGTGTTTTTTCTTCGTTTTGCTAAGTGAGGAAAGATAATGTTGTTACTAGGATTGCAGTTGTGAATGGTTACTATCCAAAGAACCACCTACGCTAACAACTCAATTTGTAAACTAGCTACACATTCAAATATATACATATATGCATGCATGCAAAAATGAAAAATCTAGGGCCTTTTCCGATTTGAGGGTCCTGTGCAATGGTATCACTGGCACCGAATCTAGACTTGTCTAATTATTAGATGGTGCATTCATTATATTTAATTAAAAGTTTGTTCAACGTTTGCGATTAGTATTAAATCAGTCCATGCATAGTTTTAAGTCATGGTTATGTATGATCATTAATAAGGTTAACTTATTCATGGAAGGTTGTTCCATGCCTAGACTATTTAAAACCCTTATTCACGTACGGAAAAGTATCATTTAGAAATTGAGAATTACTTTTAAACTTGGTTTATTGAAGAGTGTTTTCTCCCTATCCCTAAACTCTTATCTCTTCAATAGATTCCTTAGGCATTCTCCAACCCTGGGCTAAAACCCAAATTTCCACCCCCCCCCCCCAAAAAAAAAAACCCAACCCAACTGCTAAATAAAATACCAACCCATTTTTAGGCCAGAAATCAAAATGGGGCCCACCGGTGTGAGTAAAAAGTGGGATGTGAAGCCCAGATGCCATCACCCACTTGCCCAACATGCAGCACATACCAAGGGCGAACCCAGCGGGACCCTGCCTACGTGGGCGTGTCCCCCGTGTGTCGATCCAAATTCAAACCGGTCGGGTAGCCTAACAGCTATTTTTCTGATCCAATGGCCAAATTTAATTGGACCGTTGGATTCACGTTCAATTTTTTATATTTTTATATTTATATATTTATTGAATCCAATGGTTTAGATCAAATATGATCAAATCTAACAGCCCAAATTTAAATCCAACGGCTAAAATAATTAAAAAAAAATTATTTAACTCAAAATTCACCCAAAAACTCTATAAATACCTATGTATTTGTTCAAACATCCACACAAAACCACTTTTCACCTACAATTCTTCCAATTTTTCTTTCTACCATTTCTTCTCATTTCCAAATTTTTCAAGATGGCAAAAGAGCATGTTAGAGGTCATAATTGGACCTTTGAGAAAGATATTGTTTTATGTTTGGCATGGGTTTCCATTAGCTAAGATGGTGCCGTCGGCACGAATCAAAATAAAAAGGTTTTGTGGGGTAAAATCGTTGATAAGTTCCATGAAAACTCCAACGCCGGCTGAAGGGAAGGTGGTGGTGTTTATGATCGGTGGAAGGTTATCAACAAAGCGTGCACTTTGTGGAAGGGAAGTTTGGAGAGAACCATAGTTGACATGCCTAGTGGAAGGAGCTTCTCAAAAATTGTAAGTTTCTTTGTTGATATTTTATTTGTCATGTACATAATAGTATTTTTCAACTAATTGTTTTTACGTATTTAATGCATAGGGTGACAAAGCAATGACAATTTACAAGACAAGAACTACACCACAAAATCAAGCTTTTAAGTTGCATCATGCTTGGACCATCCTCAAGGATTGTCCGAGGTGGGGAACCGGTGCGGACCAACAATGGGGAAGATTATTTCATAATGAAGCCCTGCCCCCAAATGATTTTAATGAAGGTGTGAATGAAGATGTCGAACAAATAACCTCTAACTTCTTCTTTTGCAAGGCCCCTAGGAAGTGATAAACAAAAGGAAGCAAAGGGAAAAGGGAAGTCCCAAGATCCCATTAGTGAAAAAATTGCCATCGGATTTGCAAGATTGATTGAAAGTTATAGCTCTCGGGATAGGGAAGCGGCCCCAATGCGTGTGGCTATGACGCAGCTAGGGGATAGAAAGCAAGAGAGGTTCTAAATAAATTTCATGACGGAGGACCTCAACAAATACACTCCGGAGAGGAAGAAGTACTTACGTGGTAAGTAAAGGGAAACTTTTCATAGGGATGCCAGAAGGAGAATATTTCAAGATGATAATTCATCTCAAGGCTATATCCCAAATCCACCACCAAGTCCATCACCAAATCAAGATGGTGGATATCATTATTAAGTTTATGTAGTTTATCAATTTTCGATTGTATTAAGTTTATATAGTTTATTAATTATCGTTTTTTTTTTTAGTTTATGTGGTTTATTAATTGTCCTTTGTATTAAGTTTATGTGGTTTATTAAATGTCGTTTGTATTAAGTTTATGACTTATTAATTATTGTTTCATTAATCTAGATGCCTTCAATAATTCAAACGAACTTCAATAATTTGACAATGTACTAGTGAAAAGACTTGTCACAAGAAGACAATTCAATTTATTACTAGAAAATACCAACATAGTACCTGCAAAATTATTACATAACATAACACATTACTACACTTAAGATCATTCATCATCAATGTTCTTCTTCTCGGCGCCATATATGCTCAACCAAATCCTTGCGGAGTGTGTCATGACCTTGAAGAGCTTGAATTCTATTTAAACGTCTCATATACTCAATGAGTGTGACCCTATCCTATCGGGTCTCGTATGTCGTTGTGGCATCCCACATCGCCCAGGGGAGTGATCCATATATGTATATTCCCATCCCTACCTAATACGAGGCCTTTTAGGAGCTCAATGGCTTCGGGTTCCATGGGAACTCTGAAGTTAAGCGAGTAGCGCACGAGAGCATTCCCAGGATGGGTGACCCATCGAGAAGTTTTCGTGTGAGTTCCCAGAAACAAAATCGTGAGGGCGTGGTCGGGCCCAAGGCAGACAATATCGTGCTACGGTGGTGGAGCGGGCCCGGGAAGTGGTCCCCCCCGAGCGGGGATGTGACAATTTGGTATCAGAGCCTAACCCTGGTCGCGTGTGTGCCGACGAGGACGTCGGGCCCCCAAGGGGGGTGGATTGTGACATCCCACATCGCCCAGGGGAGTGATCCATATATGTATATTCCCATCCCTACCTAATACGAGGCTTTTTGGGAGCTCACTGGCTTCGGGTTCCATGGGAACTCCGAAGTTAAACGAGTAGCGCACGAGAGCATTCCCAGGATGAGTGACCCATCGGGAAGTTCTCGTGTGAGTTCCCAGAAACAAAACCGTGAAGGCGTGGTCGGGGCCCAAAGCGGATAATATCGTGCTACGGTGGTGGAGCGGGCCTGGGAAGTGGTCCCCCCCGGGCCAGGATGTGACAGTCGTTGCAGCGAGATATTCAACATCTCTTGCCATAGCTCTAGAATATGTTGGTTGGTCATCATCCACATCTTCATCATAATCTTCCTCAATTTCGACATATTCATCTTCCACAATTATGTTATGCAAAATTATGCATGTCATCATGATTGAATGGAGGTTTTCGATTTGCCAAAGTCGTGCAGCCCCTCTAACAATGGCCCATCGAGTTTGTAGGATCCCGAACACTCTTTCCACATCCTTCCTATAAGACTATTGTCTCTGTGAAAATAATTTCTTCTTTGCACTATCGAGATGAGAATAACTTTTCACAAAGGTAGACCAACTAGGATAAATAACCTAGCTCATGCCTATTACTATTTACTTTGTACCTCCATTCCGGTGCCCATCCATTGACAACATCATTGAACAGAGGAGAAGACCAAAGAACATTGATATCGTTGTTTGATCCAGAAACATCGAAGAATGCATGCTAGATCTATGTGTCGTAAGACGCCACAGCCTTGAGCACGATGGTTGGCTTATTGTGATGGCCCTTGAATTGGCCGGCCCAAGCAGTAGGATAATTCTTCCACTGCATACAAGCGAGACTTCCTATCATGCCAAGGAAGCTTCTTTTTTTCTGCCTTGCGTAAAAGCTACTTTAAGTCTTCACGATTTGGCTTATGGAGGTACGTGGCTCCATATATGGCTTCAATTGCCTTACAGAAGCGCTTCAAGTTCTTAATAGCAATACTCTCCGTAAGTCGATAATATTCATCAATTAAGTCTGCAGAGCACCCATTAGCTAGCATCCGAAATACAGATGTAAGCTTCTTATGAGGTGATAGGCTTTGTCGGCCTACGACATCTATTTTCCTTGCAAAGTAGTGGTCATGACGGACAACTGCGTTCAAGATGCTTTCAAAAAGCTCTCTTCTTTTCCAAAACCACCTCCGAAAATCATGAGAAGAATATCTCGGACGTTCGATGAAATAATCTTTCATCATCCGGTCATGACACTCTTCTTTATCATGCTGCACAAATGAACGCCCCGTGATAGAACCACGATGGCTAGATTTGGCATGGTGCTAATATTGAATAAGCGAGTTTGCAAATTCGGCTTCTTGTACTTTCATTTCTGCATCGGCAGGTGCACGGCTTCCTTGGTATTGTGCCATCTGTATTGCCAAGCTATGCCTTTTTCAATTACCCATTGATGAGATATTAATGATTTTAGGAAACAAAAACACTTTGAAAGTTGGAAGATTGGTTAATATAGAGGATTATTGAAGGTTTAAACATTGTGTGATGGTTTGATATTCAACATGTGTTTATATAGAGGATAATTGAAGGTTTCAATTTCATGTGTGTAGGTTTGTGTTTCATGCGTTTCATGTGTTTTGTATGTATGTTGGTATGTTTTTCGTGTGTGTCATGTGTTCTGTGTGTGCTTCATCTCTATCATGTGTTTAGTACGTGCTTCACATGTGTTTTGTATGTCCTTCACATGTGTTCTATGTGTCTTGTGTGTTTCATGTATTTTGTATTTATACATCTCTATCATGATTTTCATATTCTTCCATAGTGTTTCATGAGTTTCATATATTAATTTAGTGATTTTTCAATATTTATAGGAATTTAAATATTTTTATATTAAAATGTTCATAAAATTAATGTACGACAGTCTACATAATATTTTTTTTTTAAAAGTTAATTTAAGAAAAAAATTAGCCCAAATTCATTCTTTAATAATCTGGGGCTAAAATTTTAGGCTAGAAGGGTTAAAGCAGAAAAGCTGTTTCTGGGCTAAAAATTTTAGGTTTTAGGCCAAGGGTTGGAGATGGTCTTAGAGTGATGAGTTGTATTTGAGTGTTCGCATGTAGTTTCTCTTTGATCTCCATTATCCGGTGTCAATTTGTACTCCCTCAAGATAGGCTCTGTTATGGGCATATTGCCAAGTAGAACAATGGGTGAATTTGGGGAAGATGGTATTTAGCAATCTAAATGTGAATCATGTCGTAACACTTAAACACCGCTTTGAAGATTACAAAAAACTCTTAAGACCCAACTACTTCCGACATTAATTGTTAGCAGGTGATTTTCTTTTGTAATTTGATAGTTGATGTGTTCTTACTACCATTAACAATTTGACCTCTAAAACACTGCACTACTTAAGTGATTTAACAAGAATTTTTAAAATTCAATTCACTCAGGGAGTCCTTTTACCTCAAATAGCACAAAAATACCATATGCAATTTAAGACCTTTGTCGCTTGGAACCAAAGAAAAGATGAAGACATGTCACGTGCACACGACAATACATATTCTGTAATTGAGGTACCCACGTGCGCCAATTTAAACAACTCCACAAGCCCACATGTCCCAATTGGACCATGGACCCACCCATAAATAATGCATGTCCAGGGCCCAATCGAATTTAATTCATCATTTATTTATTTTATTAAATATTTCCTTACACAATTAGGAAGCCAAATTCCAAATCTGAGCAGGAAAACTTGCTTCGAAAGTAAAGCGGACGACAAAAGCCACGTCTTGCATGACTTGCGCTAAATTCGAGAAATCACCGAAATTACCAACCACCCTCCCACCAATCCCCCCCCATATTCCTAAAATACCCCTTCAACGGCACGCACAACGGTCACTTCTCGGGCGGCATACACAATCTGCAGAGGGGCAAAATAGACAATACATAAAGTTCAAAATTCTTATTTCCCAAGGGTTACGAAAAGTTCCCACCGCCTCAGGGTCCAAGACTATTTATACACAGCGGCACGGCAACTCCGCCAGTCCGCCGTAAATCAAAACTCTAAACCGCCACAAATCTCCTATTAATATCTCGAAGATTTAATCTTTCCTGATCTCTTTGGTGCCGGATTCTGAGATCTTGAACCGTTTCTTGCTTCTTTGATTTATGAATTTTTTTTAAAATTTTTGTATGCAGAGTTGTTTGTAGTTATTTGTCTTTCGATTTGTCTTCCGATTTCTCGCTGATTAGATCGCTTAATTTGTAAGTTTGTAGCAGCGATGTCTACCGATCAGTTTGAATTCGAAGACCAAATATCGATAACTATTGATAATGACGAAGAAATTTTGGATTCCGGGTCTGATTGCGGTGATTCGAACGCCGCCGTATCGGATCGGTTTGGTGTTTTCACCCGGAGCGGGATGATACGGGTGGACGACGAGAGTTTCGAGCACGAGATCATCAAGAAGAGCTTTGTTTCGGGCATGGGATTGGCCGGGAGGGACACGAATATTGTGGCGGTGCACAAGAACTTGAGCTCCGATCCGACCAGGAAGGCGAGGTTTGAGTCGTTCAAGATTTTCTCTCAGGCGGTGGCAAGTAAGTGCGGCAGCAACGCCAATGTTAAGTACGCTTGGTATGGTGGATCGAAGGAGGAACTTTGTGATGTTTTGGTCCATGGTTTCAGTCGGTGCAGAGAGCCTGTCCCAAATGAAGTGTTTTACGGTGTTGGTGTTCATATGATTCCTGCCAAATTTACATGTGATGGGTAATTTTTTTATTTTCAGGGGATTTTGATTTGTACCCAACCCTTGTTTCTGTTTAATCTTTGAGAAATTCACATCTTTAAAATCGAAACCTTTCATTTTTATCGAAAAATTTATGGATTGTATTGACATTTGTGTAGAGCATTGTCGTCGGCTGTGGATGAAAGTGGGCTGAAGCACATCTTGCTGTGCCGTGTGATATTGGGGAAGGCGGAAATGGTGGCGCTGGGCTCAAAGCAATCGCAACCGAGCTGCAAGGAGGTGGACACTGGAGTAGATAATCTGGTAAATCCGAGAAGATATGTTGTTTGGAGTGCTATCATGAACTCTCACATTTATCCTTGCTATGTGGTCAGCTTCAAGGCTCCTAACACTCTCCCTAATGGTTAGTAGCTCAGGTTTTGTATGAACAGTTGTTTCAGGTGTTCCAGGTGTTTGGTGGAGATTTTGGGTTTTCGAAATGAGATTTAACTCTGGTTTTGTATGAACAGTTGTTTCAGGTGTTCCAACTGCGCAGCAGAGTGCTTTGAGGCAACCCCCCACATCACCATGGATGAGCTTCCCTGCTCTGATGTCCATTCTCTCAAAGTTCTTGCCTCCTCAGAAAATGCAATCGATTGTTGCTTGTCACAACGAATTCAGAGTAAGTTTTATAGCATTTTCTGTTTCTCATGTTTAATCTTCATTAATCATGACAACATGATCACTTCATTTCGAACTTTTCGATTGATTTTGCAGGCAAACAAGGTAACGCGCCCGCAGCTGATACAGAGGGTGAGGCAGATTGCCGGTGACAGGCTGTTGATTGGAGTGATCAAATCTGTCAAGAGGCAGATTGGTGCCAGGGCGTAGCCTTACTTTCGGATACACCGCTTTTTGCTTGTCACAACCAAAGGTTTCTGTTTGCTTCTCCATTGTATCAATTCCCATTGATTTGCAGTGTAACGAAATCAAAATCGAAATCGAAATATACAAATTGGTTCTCAAAAAATGGTGGTTTCTGGTTGTTTCTTCATATGTAGCTGTGACCGACTTTGAATTGGCAATATGCGAAGAGGGTGCAACTTGGGTTACTATTCAGCAGTGTGATTGATAAAGTGGCCGTTTTTGTGTTTAACTTTGTCGCCTTTGGCCGACTGAGAAAGCATCCTATCAATTAAAAAAAATAAAATGAGAAATTCTTTGCCTTTCACAAGAAGAATGAGAAGGGAGAGATGAGGGTAAAAAGTAAAAACCAATTAAGAACTGAAGATTAGTTTACAAATGATTTTTATAATTACAATGATGTAAGCGCTCGTAATTTTAGTGTGTCCGTGGAAATTAGATTGCCGATATACACAGTGAAGTTTTTCTCCCTAACAAGCATGGCCGTTGTCAGCTTGTCATGATATGTTTGGTCAAGTACTATAACGAGCGAAACCCTCATTTTGTGTTGCTAAGACATGTGCCTAAACAAATGTAAATCCTCTCCTGCTGTGCAAAAGAAACAAAACGAAGATCAATTTAAATGATGATTAGGGTTTTAAACATCTTCGCATGTTGTTATTATTGAAATTAGAAAACACCGATTTTATCCCACAACTAACAAGAAAACATCCAACCCCCTATTCAGCAGATTTGCTGTTAAGGCTTCAGTATTGGAAAAGCATATTAACAGAGGGTGCGCGTTAACAACCAGGAGAAGTCTGGTAATGGGTACAAACCTTGGCATTCTTCGTTCTCTGCATCAGCAACTCCTCAAGAAATTAGTACAAATCATATGTGAACGTGTTCTTACCGGTAAGAGCACGTTCATTAGTAGAGCTGAAAATTTACAAGTATTTTTACCGGTAACAACCTTTGTAAATTTTCAGCTTAATCGGTGAACGTGTTCTTACCGGTAAGAACTCTTCATATATAATTGCCTATGTTGAAGTAATTTCAAAACAAATAATTTAAGGTTCTGGGGTCTACTCTTTTCTAGATCTTTTTTTTTACATGAATTTTGCCAACACTTTTCCTACTATTTCGGAATAATTTAGAAGCGAGGCTAGTGTCGGGGCTAATATCGATGTTTTGGCGTGCCACGATGTGAGGGTTAGCATGTCAAAGTCTTAGAAAAATGCATGGCATGACACACTAGCCCTCTCATCGTCGCATGCCAAAACATCAATGTTGGCCCCGACATGACAAGCACCGAGAATTGTCGGTAGAATGCATGTCATGACATGCCATGCATTATGTCGACAATTTGCCACGCTTGTAATAGCATGCCAGGATGCGAGGGTTAGTGTGTCAAGATAAGTCATAGCTACGCTAACACTCACATCGTGGAATGCCAGCATTTTGCCAACACTTTGCCTACTATTTCGAAATAATTTAGATGTTGTCAATGCATGTCACGGCATCCTAATCCCATAACATTCCAATCGCATGCCAAGCACGCAAAATGTTGGCAAAATGCATGCCAACAACGATGTTTTGGCATGCCACGATGCGAGGGTTAGTGTGTCAAAGTGTTAGAAAAATGCATGGCATGACACTCTAACCCTCGTATCGTGGCACGCCAAAACATTGTTGTTGGCCCTGACATGACAAGTGTTGCGAATTGTCAACAAAATGCATGTCATGACACGCCATGCATTCTGTCGACAATTTGCGACGCTTGTTATTGCGAGCCACGATGAGAGGGTTAGCATGTCAAGACAAGTCATGGCTTGTCAAGACATGTGACATGTCATCGCATACCAACAATAATGTTTTGGCGTGCCATGATGCGAGGGTTAGTGTGTTAAAGTGTAAGAAAAATGCATGGCATGACACGCTAACTCTCGCATCCTGGCATGCCAAAACATTGTTGTAGGCCTCAACATGACAAGCATCACGAATTGTCGGCAAAATGCATGTCATGACACACCATGCATTATATCGACAATTTGCGATGCTTGTTCTAGCGTGCCACGATGGAAGGGTAGTTAATGTGTCAAAACATGTCATGCCTTGCATTCTAGCACAACTCGTGAGACTGGTTATGACATGCATTTTTCTAACACTTTGCCTACTATTTCAGAATAATTTAAAAAAAAAAAAAAAATATATATATATATATATCTAGGAAAGAGGAGACCTCGGGGCTGAAATTATTTTTTTGGAAATTAGTACAAAATAGGACGCTAGTCATCATATATGAACGTGTTCTTACCGGTAATGACACATTCATTGATTGAGCTAAAAATTTACACATGTTCGTATCGGTAAGAACGCTTGTAAATTTTTAGCTCTAAAAAATGAATGTGTTCTTACCGGTAAGAACACGTCTAAAATTTCAGGTCTAAAAAATGAACGTAAGAACACGTGTAAATGTTTAGCTCTACTAATGAATGTGTTATTACTGGTAAGAACACGTTCATACATGACTAGCGCCCTGTTTTGTACTAATTTCTTGAAGAGTTGCGGATACAGAGAAAGAAGAATGCCAAGGTTCGACATCTTTAAAAGCGAAACGTTTCATCTTTATCGAAAAATTGGTGGATTGTATTGAACATTTGTGTAGGGCATTGTCATCGGCTGTGGATGGAAGTGGGCTGAAGCACAACTTGCTGTGCCGTGTGATATTGGGGAAGGCGGAAATGGTGTCGCCGGGCTCAAGCAATCGCAACCGAGCTGCAAGGAGGTGGACAATCTGGTCAATCCGAGAAGATATGTTGTTTGGAGTGCTATCGTGAACTCTCACATTTATCCTTGCTATGTGATCGCTTTCAAGGCTCCCAGCACTCTCCCTAATGGTTAGTAGCTCAATTCGAAATTCGAATTGGTAATTTGGTTTGTGTTCTTTGGTTGGTTGTTTGGTGGAGATTTCAGGTTTTCCAAATGAGATTTAACTCTGGTTTTGTATGTTCAGTTGTTTCAGGTGTTCCAACTATGCAGCAGAGTGCTTTGAGACCACCCCCAACATCTCCCTGGATGACCTTCCCTGCTCTGATGTCCGTTCTCTCGAAGTTCTTGCCTCCTCAGAAAATGCAGTTGCTTGTTGCTTGTCACAACGAATTCAGAGTAAGTTTTATGGCATTTTCTGTTTCTCATGTTTAATCTTCATCAATCATGACAATATGATCACCTTATATGCGTGTTCGATTGATTTTGCAGGCAAACAAGGTAACGCGTGCGCAGCTGATACAGAGGGTGAGGCAGATTGCCGGTGACAGGCTGTTGATTGGAGTGATCAAATCTGTCAAGAGGCAGATTGGTGCCAGGGCAGATGCATAACGTTGTTTGGTGAGCAACCCTTCGGGCTTTACTTTCGGATACACAGATTTAGTTACGATTTAGACAGTGTCACCGAAAGGTGTTTGCTTCTTCATTGCATCAATTCTCGTTGATTTGCTCTTTAATGAATCAAAACTCGAAATCAAAATCGAAATCGAAGTATACAGATTGGTTCTCAAAAATGGTGGTTTCTGGTTCTTTCTTCATTTGTAGCAGTGACCGACTTTGAATTGGCAATATGTGAAGAAAGTACAACTTGGGTTTCTATTCAGCAGTGTGAATGACAAAGTGGCCCTTTTTTGTTGACTTTTGTCGGCTTTGACCGGCTGAGTTGCTTGATCAGCAAGTATACTAACCCCCTCTAGGGTTTATGGCCCAAGCTTTTCGCTTGTGGAACCTTTCTTTATTATATATTAATTCTATAATTTAAAGTCGGCTTTTAAATATTAATTTCAAGTCGACTTTTAGATCCTATCAATTAAAATAAATAAAATGAGAAATACGTTGCCTTCCACAGGAAGAAAGAGAAGGGAGATGAGGGTAAAAAGTAAAAAACAACTAAGAACTGAAGATTACTTTACAAATAAGTTTCCATAATTACAATGACGTAAGTCCTCACAAATTTAGCATCACCGTAAAAATTAGATTGCCGATATGCACCATGAAGTTTCTGTCGTCTAACTCATGTCGTGAGATGTTTGGTCAAAGGCCTATAACGAGCGAAACTCTCATTTTGTGTTGCGGAGACATGCGCCTAGAACAAATGTAAATCCTCTTGAATGTGAAAAGAAGGCCTGAATACTCCTTCTCCTAATCAGCCAAAGCACTTAATCGTTTCTCCAGCTGGGCAAAAGAAACAAACTAAGATCAATTTAAACGATGATTAAGGCTTTAAACATCTTCGCGCTGTTATTATTGAAATTTGAAAACACCGATTTATCAGAGGAATGGAAAAGCATATTAACAGAGGGTGTGTGTTAACAACCAGGAGAAGTCCGGTAACGGGTACAAACCTTGGCATTATTCGTTCTCCGTATCCGCAACACTTCGACAAGTTTGTCAATTCTGATAAGAGCATCAAAAGGATTTCGAAATAAGATTAGATTATTGAATGGAGCATGCTTCTTGGAAACAATAGAAGAAATCTCGCACACCTTTGTTGAATACTAATCACGTGGGATTCTAAGACTCCTCTGTTGCAGAAGCCGTACCCATGAGATTCCATGTGCACCTTTTGCATGGTGTCTTTCTGCAAAATACAATGGAGTGCAGGAATAATGGAAGCGGATGTACCAATTACAGAAGGGATAGTGAAGCCGTTCGCAGTGTCCTGAAGGGAAACATCATTAAGAATTTATGACAGAAGTGCCATTGCTTCATCAATATCCCCAAAACAAAGTAAGTTAAAAGCTCTCTAGATGCGTACTAAAACATTAATTTTTCCTCAATCATGTGCTGGTAGATTGTTAAAATAACTCATGCTCCATGAGAACTTATGACACTGAATGTTATAGACCAGCATGCCTTAGGACTGGAATATGGGAAACGGAGCATGACCATGAGCAAGTTCTAGTGCTGTTAGCCCAAACGACCAGATGCCTGCTCTGTTTGGATACGAATAACAGACCCCGCCAGGATTTGAATGTGTGGAATTTTTCAGGTCGACGGGTCAAGGGCCCTCTCTAACAACATCAATATTGTCCTTCACCACCTATCCAATCCTCAGATGTGGGATTTGATCACAAAAGATCTCGATATTAGTTAGAGTGGGGTAATTCTATTTAAATTACTTTCTCTTTGACCCTCTGGTCGATGTGGGATAACTGGAGATTCCAACAGAATGACAAGTAAACGTTAGAGAAAGCTCAAAGAAATGAAATTCGAGTTCATCAAATATACACATCAATAAGTATTCTTGCATGACAAACTCCATGTTTCGGCAAATCCACCAATAAACTCAAAACTCCGTCAGGGTTTCTCTCTGTGATTCCTCCTCACTCGCTCAATCTATGACTCACCCGCTTTGGTGCAATCAAAATATATTAGTGAACAACACTTTATATTTGAATCAGTCAGAGTCAGAGAGATTATTACCAGAGGAGGATCTTTGTTTATCATAGTGTAAATTACTAAATTGTAACAACCCGTTTTGGGGATTTACGGAACAAAAATAGTATTTTTGTATTTTCACTAAGTTTGGGGATATTTTCTTTTAAAAATGATTTTTGAGTCTTAAATGGTGTGCCCAAAGGGGCCCACCCTTGATTTGTCCCCTGGTTCCTGTCCCCTTTTCTTTCTTTTTCTGATTTTTATAACTCTCTCTCTCTCTCCTTTCTTCTCTTCCTGTAACCTCATATTTCTCTCCCTCTTCTTCTTCTCTCTTTCTTTCTCTCGTGTGACTCCCGAAACTCTCTCTCCCTCTATGATCTCTCCCTCTTTCTCATGTTTGTCACTCACATAAGCAACAAGCCCAAACCAACACTACTGGACGTAGGAACTTCGGGAAAACTCAAGCAAACCTTCATGGAACCCTAACAGTGATGGCGTCACTGTTCATCATCTTCTCCAACGTGTTTCGTGCTTTTTCGACATTGGTAAGCTTCTAGAAACCCTTGGGCTGTGTTTAAGGGTTAGTTCAAAGGTTGTTTTAAGTGGTGTATATGTGTGAATCGTAGAAAATAGCTCGGAGTAGCTTTTCCAAATTTTCGACGAGCACCGCCCATTTTGAGGCAATTTTTGGCCAAACCACAGTGAGTTTGCCAGCGTGCAAGGTATCAATCTCTTCATCTCGCTAAGTACTACGACTTTCCTTTTTAGATCACCCAATTTCGTTGAGTATCAAAGAAGTTATGGGCATTTGAAATTTGCCTAGAAACCGGCCAAAACCTTGGCCTGAAAATGGGTCAACCCGACCCATTAACCCAAGGTCCAACCCAATTACCCAAGCCCAAGTTTGAAATCCAAACCCAGGCCTTTAGGTCGGATCACTAAGCCCAAACCCTTTAAGACCCAACCCAGTTTCCTTTTATTTAATTTTTGTTTATTTTTATTTTCAAACCTAAAACCCTTTTAGTTGGACCGAGCTTTCAAGCCCAATACCCTTTAAACCCTAAACCCTATTGGACCCAAACCCTTTAGGCCCAACCCGGATCCAACCCTAAGCCCATACCAGTTTGACCGGTCGGACCCAGACCCATGACCCGTTGACTTTGACCCGGTTAACGTTAACCGTTGACCTTGACTTCAGGTTGACTTTTCGAGTTTTTGTCTGAGACCTCTCCTAGGCTAATTCCGACGTCGTGGACCTGTTTTTGAAGTCTGTTTTCCCAAATCCAATCATTTGAGTAGAGTTTGACTAAATGTACCATTTATGTGCTTATGGGCAATTAATTGTGGCGTTTCCGTCTTCGCTAATTGCGTGGCTCTTCGGCAACTAAGTACTGTGAGTGAAAATGCATGTTTTGACAGTAGAAATGCATACATGAAAAACATGATTTGATGATTATGTTTTATGAAACGTTTTATGAGATAACATGTTTACTGAGATTCGTTTGAATTATTTTTTTTTTCCTATAACCCGTGTTCTTATAGAATATATGATGGATGACGATATGATATTTAGAACATGTTTAGAACACCTCTTTATAGTATAGATGATGGATGACTTTATACTATAAAGTTGCTTTTCAATATATGTATGTTCAATGGTTTTGTACTTACCTAGTGGTCCTTATTCTGCTATGAGACGTAGGGATAGTTTCCGGTCTATCCCGGGTGACGGTTTGGTGTTGGCATAGGGCCTGGAGTGTGTTTCCTCTGGCTATTAGCATAAGGACGGGGAGTCGGCATAGGGCATGGAGTGTATTTTCCTCTGACTGTTTGCTCAGAGATAGGGAGCCGGCATGGGGCCTAGGGATTATCGGACATTCACTAGTGATAATTATATATACAAGTTATGATTTGAGACATTGCACGGCATGCTAGGTTTCGAAAAACCTATATTTATCATGATATATGTGTTTTCATAAAACTTGGGAGTTAGTACGTTGATAACTGTTTTATTATATATATATATATATATCAAATTGGTCCACTCATGTTTGTTTTGCGCCCCCTTCAGGACTTAGAATCGAGGTGTACAATCCCGGCATCAAGGTACTTCTACATCGGCATCTTCGAGTCTGGTGCAGGACCCATTCTTTTATTCATTCAATTTTATATTATTTCTTTTAGTGTTCTAGTTAGTTGTATGCTCTGAACACGTTCCTTAAATGCATATTCATTATTCTTTTATATTTATAAGCCTTATCTACCCCTTCTTTTCAGCATTTGCACTCAATAAATGGCTTTCGTCACTCTCGGGTGTCAGTCAGCACGTGCCTATCTTGGTATTCGGGGAATATCAGGATCGGGGCGTGTCATAAATTATTGGCTATTTTAATTTTTATTGCCTCTTTGTGCTAAATATATCACTATTTAACTAGTTGCAAGTGAAAGGATTTTTCGTTTTATTTTCATGGATTCCGAGTTGGTTAATATACTATTATGGCTGGTTTATTGTGTAATTTAGACCAGATTTTACATTATTTTTTTATTAATGTTAAGAAGAAAACTGAGTGTTTAAACTCGTAACGCAATAAGTTGAAATATAAAATTTTAAGCATGAGATTATTCACAACTTGCCGGTATTACATCATTTTGACAAGTTTATTTATTGTGCCACTTAGTTCAAATATTTTTATAAATATATTATTGTATTCCTTTGTCAAATAAATATACCATTGTATTGAAAAAAATATTTGTTTGCAGAACAATATACGGTATAAATAAATCACCTCAAAGAAAAACAATGAATAAATTGTCAACAGAAATGGAGGAGGAGTGCTATGTTTGGTGATCAGTATTCGGACTCCACTGCAGCTATTAGATTGGACGCAGACAAGTGCGCGCGTAATAGTTTTGTTTAGGCCTTCCCGCCACCTGCGATTTCTTGATATTGGGCCCAAAATTGATCTCTTATTGGGCCCGTCTTTCATTTACTCAGCCCAATTTTATTGCCTTCGTTTTTTTTGGTAAAATTTTATAGCCTGTTTTGGTTGAAGTGTTTATGTAATTATATTTAGATGCACAAAATTAATTCGGCTTTTTATCCAAAATGATTTTTGAGATTGGCAAAACTCTTCACTTTGGTCCTTGAGATTTCACAGAAGGACCAAACTGATTGATGATGGACAAACTCAAGGACCACTTCTATTGATTTCAAATCTCAATGACCAAAGTGAAGAGTTATGTTAATCTCAAAGACCATTTTGGCTAAAAAGCCAATTAGTTACATTGTTAATCACCTTCTTAATACATA